GTAAATTCATCCTTTCAAAATCATTTAGGATTGGTTTGAGACATGTGAAATATAGCTTATTGGAGGGATCAGCGTACATTGAAAATAGTTGCCTTGCAACATATTTATCACAAGAGGAAAAAGCTATTTGGTAATGAGTTGTTAGAGAACCCCACTGATCAAACGGCCGCTTTACACTACCGCTCCTTGCCAACCATCGTCTTCCTGACAAAGGTATTAACTGTAAGGGATCTTTCCCATCATTTATCAATCTGTAAATTTCTAGATAACTTTCTCCCCTTAATGAAGATCTGTGGAACCAGGTGTAGCTTTTGGGATGAAGTATTATTAACAATTAAGGTTGGGAAATCTATTGCCCCTGGGGAGGATTACCTTGCCTTGCGGTTACTTTTTCTTTCAAAGGTTCCTAGGATCAACGTCCCCAGGGGCCGGTCTCTGACCAGGGCTCTCCTGCGGTAAGTGGTCTAGTCAATCAGGCTGTTGGACTCGGCTGTGATTTGTACAGATTATATTATTAAAGCATAAATAATCATCATTGAGTTTCTTAATATTAATAGCCCAAAGTAGCCCAACTTGCGTTTAAACTAGCCCAAAAAGTCGCAAGTAGCGAAATTAAAAATTTGGGAGCGTGGGGCTCTCAAAAGTAGCCCAATTCGCTACTTGTAGCCCAATCTGGCAACCCTGCATCTTTATTTTGTGATGTGTCCTCACCTAGTTGTGCTTGCGGGAGGGGAGGGGGGAATGAGCTTTGGCTCTTTGATCCTGCCTCTCAATTGTCAATCAACTTGTGTGGTTTGGTCATCAAACTGTTTATTATCTATCATTGCAACACTTATGTTATGCGAGGCTGACTCACGTAAAAGTAACGATAAACTCCAGAATGAAACCGAAATTTCCGATGGCTACATCATCCGGCGCCTGAAAGACATGATTATTGAGGTCATCAACTCCTTCTTAGATATCGTTACGGATGGAATTTTCGGTGAACCTGTGACTTATTTTGTATATAAAGTGAGCTAGTTTCGTGCCTGCCCCGAGGAATAACGTGTCATCACGTAACTGTTCGTATTAGTGCCACGAGCAGGTGACGAGGGCGCACCCAGACCCACCGCCCTCTGTCACCTGCCACGGAGGTATAATCTATTTATTCTTCTGAATGTGAGAGAGTGACAGATAAATAATTATATAAAGGGAGAGGGTCCCGGTTGTACAGTCGGGTTCGTTTTCGACTTACAATCAAGAATCCCGGTCGGGACAGTTAAATAGTTGGGCGCATTTCCTATCACCTAATGTCCAGTTCACCTAGCAATAACTAGGTACCCAGGAGTTAGTTAGCTGGTTGAGGGGTTGCATCCTGGAGGGTGGGGGTCAGTAATTTGACCCTGGGGGGGGGGGGAACTTTGTTATAAGCCTAACATATACACTGGCTGCCTGTCCCTCAACACAATGAAATATTTTATTATAAAGGAAAGAGAGAGAGAGAGAGAGAGAGAGAGAGAGAGAGAGAGAGAGAGAGAGAGAGAGAGAGAGAGAGAGAGAGAGAGAGAGAGAGAGAGAGAGAGAGAGAGAGAGAGAGAGAGAGAGAGAGAGAGAGAGAGAGAGAGAGAGAGAGAGAGAGAGAGAGAGAGAGAGAGAGAGAGAGAGAGAGAGAGAGAGAGAGAGAGAGAGAGAGAGAGAGGGGAAGAGTGTGCGTGACTAGACTCGATCTGAGGGGATAAAAACTGGGCCGAATATAGGTGACTCATGTGGCACCAGGCTCTCCCCTCACCCTCATATATCACACACTATCTAGCCTCCTCCCCGTTCCCTACCCTCATCCAGCACACCATATCTACACCCCCCCCCCCCCCCACCCTACACACACTATACATCAGCCCCCACCAGCCCCGCCCCCACACAAGGCACCCTGTGTTTCAATCTAATGTTATCGGTGATTATCTCGCACCATTAGATGTGTGTCGGAGGAGCAGGACGGGGGGGGGGGTCATTGACCTCATTACTCTCTCACATAAGAGGCAGTCATTCCCTCCAGGAGCACTGCACGCACGCACGCACGCACGCACACACACACACACACACACACACACACACACACACACACACACACACACACACACACACACACACACACACACACACACACACACATTAATTGGAATGCATTAGGGGGTGATGTGGTGGAGGCTCACTCCATACACAGTTTCAAGTGTATATATGACAGAGCCCGATAGGCTCAGGAATCTGTACACCTGTTGATTGACGGTTGAGAGGCGGGACCAAAGAGCCAGAGCTCAACCCCCGCAAACACAACTAGGTGAGTACAACTAGGTGAGTACACACACACACACACACACACACACACACACACACACACATCCTGTAACTACACTTAGGTAATTACCGGGGGCCGGCCGGCCGAGCGGACAGCACGCTGGACACGTAATCCTGTGGTCCCGGGTTCGATCCCGGACGCCGGCGAGAACCAATGGGCAGAGTTTTTTCTCACCCTATGCTCCTGTTACCTAGCAGTAAATAGGTACCTGGGAGTTAGTCAACTGTCACGGGCTGCTTCTTGGGGTGTGTGTATGTGGTGTGGGGAAAAAAAAGTAGTTAGTAAAACAGTTGATTGACAGTTGAGAGGCGGGCCGAAAGAGCAGAGCTCAACCCCCACAAGCACTACAGGTGAATACATGCCCAAGCGGTGAGGCGTGTACGAGGGTGGGCAGGGTACGTCAAGAGTGTACCGTACAGGAGGGTGGGCAGGGTACGTCCAGAGTGTACCGTGCAGGAGGGTGGGCAGGGTACGTCAAGAGTGTACCGTACAGGAGGGTGGGCAGGGTACGTCAAGAGTGTACCGTACAGGAGGGTGGGCAGGGTACGTCCAGAGTGTACCGTACAGGAGGGTGGGCAGGGTACGTCAAGAGTGTACCGTACAGGAGGGTGGGCAGGGTACGTCAAGAGTGTACCGTACAGGAGGGTGGGCAGAAATTGAAATTGAAATTAAAATAAGTTTATTGAGGTAAAATACACACAAAGGGATGTGGTAGCTCAAGCTATTCTCACCCCGTTCAGTACATCGTGTTAATACATACATATAAACACATCACAAACAATAAACATATTACCAAACATTCTGAGAGATAAACATCTACATTTCCTAAGGGTGGGCAGGGCACGTCAAGAGTGTGGCGTGCACGAAGGCAAGCTACGGGACTGCGAGCAGCTGCCAGATTGGGCTACAAGTAGCGAATTGGGCTACTTTTGAGATCCCCGCGCTCCCAAATTTTTAATTTAGCTACTTGCGGCTTTTTGGGCTAGTTTAAAAGCAAATTGGGCTACTTTGGGCTATTAATATTAAGAAACTCAATGATGATTATTTAGGCTTTTATAATATAATGTGTAAAAATCTCAGCCGCGTCCAACAGCCTGATTGACTAGACCACTTATCGCAGGAGCCCTGGTCAGAGACCGGCCCCCTGGGGACATTGATCCTAGGAACCTTCGAAAGAAAACGTAACCGCAAGGTAATCCTCCCCAGGGGCCAGAGATTTCCCAACCTTAATTGTCATTAATACTTAATCCCAAAAGCTACACCTGGTTCCACAGATCTTCATTAAGGAAAGAAAGTTATCTAAAAATTTTCAGATTGATAAATGATGGAAAAGATCCCCTACAGTTAATACCTTCGTCAGGAAAACGATGGTTGGCAAGGAACAATAGTGTAAAGCAGCTGTTAGATGAGTGGGATTCTCTAACAACTCACTACCAAATAGCTTTTTCCTCTTGTGATAAATATGTTGCAAGGCAACTATTTTCAGTGTACTCTGATCCCCCCAATAAGCTATATTTCACATGTCTCAAACCAATCCTAAATGATTTTGAAAGGATGAATTGACTTTATCAAAAAGATGAAGTAGATCAGTGTAGCCTTCATACTGTCTTAAAAAACTACACTCTTGGAATACTCAGAAGAATCGTTCATCCTCATCATGCAAAGCTTCATGTTAATTTGGACTACAATTCCACATATCTGCCCTTTCTTTCAACTTCAGAAAGTCAACTTTCTACACGGAGAAAGTTGACTTTGGTTATGAATTTTCAACACTTCAGGCCACTAACAGACAAAACGATTTCATAACCCAGGAAAAGTTTCAAAATATTCAAGAAAAATGCCATAATTTTTTAGTGAAAGCTTGCAAATAGCTTCTTTCTCGTATTCTAAGTAATGCTGAAACTTTAAAAAAAAGTGAAAAATCTGTCGCCCAGCATATGCCTTAGCCACACATGGCCACCATTTTCAGAACTTCCATTAGTACTAGCTGACCCATCTAAGCTTAGTGACATTAAAAGTCAGTGGCGCCTACTGTTAACCATTGATTGGTCCAATATTTTTGAGGGATACATTTCAATATCCGGATCGTTATTTTGGCAATAACTGTCAAGAACGCTGCTGGAGAGCCCATACTGATTGACCTCGATGAGTTTGCATTGAAAATATACAGCTTACCAATCAGTAATGCCCTGGTTGAAAGGGAGAATAACATCTGTGAAAACCAAACTGAGAAATCGAATTTTTGACATCAATCTTGAGAATCAAAACCTATCTTGAAGAAAACGGAACTTGTTGCTCGTCATTTGAGCCACTCATGTCAATGCTTAAATATGAGTCTGCAATATATAAGAACGAGCTTGTGGCTGCAGATCAAGAAGAACTTCTTGATAATCTTCAACTGTGAAGACATGGAAGGACGCCACACCCATTATGCTTCATTCAGTAAATGTTGGTAAGGTATCCTATTATCATATTTTTTTAAAATATATATATACAGACATAATATTAATAAAACAGTTAAAATCGTTTAATGTACTCTATATATCAAAATAGATTACTTTGAAAACCGCATCAGTCACTAAACAAAAAATTGGGCTACTCCTATTACAAATTCGCTACATTTAGACCGTCAGCTCGCTACTTTTAGCAACTTGACTCTGGCATCCCTGCAGCGGACGACACTGGCTGGAGTGTGTAAACAATGATGGCTGCGGACGGTGGTGCGAGCGGCTCCTGCCAGCCCATCCTCCCGACCCTCTTCCACATGCTGGACGACAACACCTCCCACTTCAAGGACGACGACTCTGAGTACGGCCAGCGGCTGCACAGTGGCTTCGTGCTGCTGAAGGAGAACATGGAGAAGGTGCTGTATCTGAGCGAGGCGGTGAGGAAGGAGGCGCACTTGTACGACTTCGACCAGCACACTCCAGGCAACGGCTTCAGGAGCTTCAACAGCATCGTGCAACAAGCCATCCTCAGCGTCTTCGACCTCTGCAAGCAGATCTGCACAAACAGGGATTCTTTGCTCTTTAGGAAAGGACATTTTGTTAGGTAAATATTAAGGATGGGATTGAACGCTGAGTGCAGTTAGCGATACTGGCCAATGGCTTGCAGTGCAGTGTGTTAATGAACCTCATAAACAGTACATTACCTGCAGAACTTTACCTCATAAACATTACATTACCTCAAAACATTACATTACCTGCAGAACATTACCATATAAACATTACAATACCTCATAAACATTACATTACCTGCAGAACATTACCTCATAAACATTACCTGCAGAACATTACCTCATAAACATTATATTACCTGCAGAACATTACCTCATAAACATTACCTGCAGAACATTACCTCATAAACATATTACCTGCAGAACATTACCTCATAAACATTATATTACCTGCAGAACATTAACTCATAAACATATTACCTGCAGAACATTACCTCCTAATCATTACATTACCTACAGAACATTACCTCATAAACATTACATTACCTGCAGAACATTACCTCAAAGATTACATTACCCACAGAACATTACCTCATAAAGAATACATTACCTGAAGAACATTACCTGCAGAACATTACCTCATAAACATTATATTACTTGCAGAACATTACCTCATAAACATTACCTGCAGAACATTACCTCATAAACATTACCTGCAGAACATTACCTCATAAACATTATCTGCAGAACATTACCTCATAAACATTACATTACCTGCAGAACATTACCTCAAAGATTACATTACCTGCAGAACATTACCTCATAAAGAATACATTACCTGCAGAACATTACCTCATAAACATTATATTACCTGCAGAACATTACCTCATAAACATTACCTGCAGAACATTACCTCATAAACATTACCTGCAGAACATTACCTCATAAACATTATATTACTTGCAGAACATTACCTCATAAACATTACCTGCAGAACATTACCTCATAAACATTATCTGCAGAACATTACCTCATAAACATTACATTACCTGCAGAACATTACCTCAAAGATTACATTACCTGCAGAACATTACCTCATAAAGAATACATTACCTGCAGAACATTACCTGCAGAACATTACCTCATAAACATTATATTACCTGCAGAACATTACCTCATAAACATTATATTACCTGCAGAACATTACCTCATAAACATTACCTGCAGAACATTACCTCATAAATATTATATTACCTGCAGAACATTACCTCATAAAGATTATATTACCTGCAGAACATTACCTCTTAAAGATTACATTACCTGCAGAACATTACCTCATAAACATTATATTACCTGCAGAACATTACCTCATAAACATTATATTACCTGCAGAACATTACCTCATAAACATTACCTGCAGAACATTACCTCCTAAACATTATATTACCTGCAGAAAATGACCTCATAAACATTACATTACCTGCAGAACATTACCTCATAAACATTACATTACCTGCAGAACATTACTTCATAAACATTATATTACCTGCAGAACAGTACCTCATAAACATTAGCTGCAGAACATTACCTCATAAACATTATATTACCTGCAGAACATTACCTCATAAACATTACATTACCTGCAGAACATTACCTCATAAACATTATATTACCTGCAGAACATTACTTCATAAACATTATATTACCTGCAGAACAGTACCTCATAAACATTAGCTGCAGAACATTACCTCATAAACATTATATTACCTGCAGAACATTACCTAATAAACATTACATTACCTGCAGAACATTACTTCATAAACATTATATTACCTGCAGAACAGTACCTCATAAACATTAGCTGCAGAACATTACCTCATAAACATTATATTACCTGTAGAACATTACCTCATAAACATTACATTACCTGCAGAACATTACCTCAAACATTATATTACCTGCAGAACATTACTTCATAAACATTATATTACCTGCAGAACAGTACCTCATAAACATTAGCTGCAGAACATTACCTCATAAACATTATATTACCTGCAGAACATTACCTCATAAACATTACATTACCTGCAGAACATTACTTCATAAACATTATATTACCTGCAGAACAGTACCTCATAAACATTAGCTGCAGAACATTACCTCATAAACATTATATTACCTGCAGAACATTACCTCATAAACATTACCTGCAGAACATTATCTCATAAACATTATATTACCTGCAGAACATTATCTCATAAACATTACCTGCAGAACATTACCTCATAAACATATTACCTGCAGAACATTACCTCATAAACATTATATTACCTGCAGAACATTACCTCATAAACATTACCTGCAGAACATTACCTCATAAACATTACCTGCAGAACATTACCTCATAAAGATTACATTGCCTCATAAACATTACCTGCAGAACATTACCTCATAAACATTATATTACCTGCAGAACATTACATGATAAACATTACCTGCAGAACATTACCTCATAAACATTATATTACCTGCAGAACATTACCTCATAAACATTACATTACCTGCAGAACATTACCTCATAAACATTATATTACCTGCAGAACAATACCTCATAAACATTACCTGCAGAACATTACCTCATAAACATTATTTTACCTGCAGAACATTACCTCATAAACATTACCTGCAGAACATTACCTCATAAACATTATGTTACCTGCAGAACATTACCTCATAAACATTACCTGCAGAACATTACCTCATAAACATTATATTACCTGCAGAACATTACCTCATAAACATTACCTGCAGAACATTACCTCATAAACATTATATTACATACAGAACATTACCTCATAAACATTACATTACCTGCAGAACATTACCTCAAAGATTACATTACCCGCAGAACATTACCTCATAAAGAATACATTACCTGAAGAACATTACCTCATAAACATTATATTACTTGCAGAACATTACCTCATAAACATTACCTGCAGAACATTACCTCATAAACATTACCTGCAGAACATTACCTCATAAACATTACCTGCAGAACATTACCTCATAAACATTACCTGCAGAACATTACCTCAAACATTACCTGCAGAACATTACCTGCAGAACATTACCTCATAAATATTATATTACCTGCAGAACATTACCTCATAAAGATTACATTACCTGCAGAACATTACCTCTTAAAGATTACATTACCTGCAGAACATTACCTGCAGAACATTACCTCATAAAGATTACATTACCTGCAGAACATTACCTCATAAAGATTACATTACCTCATAAACATTATATTACCTGCAGAACATTACCTCATAAAGATTTCATTACCTGCAGAACATTACCTCTTAAAGATTACATTACCTGCAGAACATTACCTCATAAAGATTACATTACCTGCAGAACATTACCTCATAAAGATTACATTACCTGCAGAACATTACCTCATAAAGATTACATTACCTGCAGAACATTACCTCATAAAGATTACATTACCTGCAGAACATTACATTACCTGCAGAACATTACCTCATAAAGATTACATTACCTGCAGAACATTACCTCATAAAGATTACATTACCTGCAGAACATTACCTCATAAAAATTAAGTTACCTGCAGAACATTACCTCATAAACATTACATTGCCTGCAGAACATTACCTCATAAACTCTGCATTTGCCCCAGGAAAACGGTAACTGCTTCCTAATTTTGACCAAAAGCATCATAGCATTTCCACACTATTCAGACACCCATTGTACTGAATATGCAATTTAGTATACAGTACAGTACTGTATTACTGGATATTCTTAACACACTAATTAATTAACCTAATTTATCCTAACATATATGGTATAAAATTAGCTCTGGATGATTACAAGTTAGTGATTCTTGTGTTTGGAACATTGATCACTGGTTACCTTGCGATGATTTTGGGGCTTAACGTTCCCGCGGCCCGGTAATCGACCAGGCCTCCTAGTCGACACCTGGTGGATGTATGCATTTTATAATACAGAAATGTTGATCTTTCTATTTATGTCTGTGATGCATTATTGGATACATGGACGTAATTAAAACACTGTGTTAGTTGCTGAAGAGGCAGGACTGTTTGGAGGCTGCCTCTTTGAGTATTTCCTGGGGTACTGTACTTGCTAGGATTGTTGCTGGATAGGTTATAGGAGTTCTCTGATGCTTTTTTTTCTTTCTATTTGGAAATTAGCAAAAGATATCCGGACAGCCCTTTTTTTTCTGATAAGCTCCATTTTTTTAAATTTATTTCTCTCTTGGTAAAACACTCAGACTGCCCATGTCTTGCTATGTAATTACTGTAATGTTGAACTCTTAACGATGCTCTTTGATTAAGCCCTCAGATAATGAGTCCTTATGCTTAACATCAAGAACCTGACAGGTATGTTTCCAACTACATGGTCTTCAATCCAAGCTTCAAACAGTGAATGTCTGACTTTCATAACTTTTGCAGCACTTAATGGTGTCACACACCATTAAAACCCTGGTTTGTGTCTCGGAGAGGCTGCAGGATCCAGTAAATTCAGTAGAACTCCGGTTTCAACTATTTTGACCATGTCGTAGTTCAGTCGATAAAGGCAGCGTCTGGGATGATCTCGGACATAGATTCGAATCCTCGTCACGGCCCTTGTGGATTTGTTCATTTAATGGTGTCACACACTAAGCACTTACTCTTATACTGTCAGCAGTCTTAATAATTGTGTTCAGTCATAGGTGCTGAAGCATCAAACATATTTAACATTTTCATTTTCACGTATAAACTGATGGTTTTCCTGGCTTTGGTTTTGGTTTTGAGGCACCACTATTATTTGATGGATGCATTCCGCTCATTTTGGTGTGGGGTTCTTCTACTTTAAACATGGAATTAGTATATATGACAAGTCAGTATATTTGCAGTGGAGACATAAAATTAAGGGACAATGCAGAAGGTATGCTGAGCCTTGTGGATCCCATTGTTAAGAGAGCAAACAAAATTGGTTTTATAATTTTTTCAAATTAACACATTTCTGTTGAGGAAACTCTGGACATAAATTGAATTTAAGGGATGTAAATTAAAAAAAATGGTTGCAAAATATCATTGCATGTTAATTGAAATGAGTTAAATTGAAGGATGTATAAGCCTTCATAAAACCATGAAATTGTCATGCTGAAGTAAAATGGTAACCAGTTTAAATTAATAATTAATCTTACAAACTTTGTTGAGGAAAATATGGCATGGTTGAAACCTCATATAACATTTAATTTAAACAGCCTGAAATAATAAAGTGGCTCTTCTGAACACAAAGTTTTACTGTGTCTTTTAACTGCATTAGTCTAAACCTGCAGAAGTTTTATTGATATGCCTAGAAAACCTTCTTGATGTAGGTGTCAAAATAAATTTGTATGATCTCTATGTCTTGGATATCATCATTTGCAAATTAATATTGGTGTTAGAACACAAACTTTAAATTATACTTTTCTGTTTATTACTTTAGGGAAGTTGAAGCATGGGGGCAGACCTTAGCATCATTGGCTGTACTTCTGGAGTACATTGATAGCATGTTGTTGCCACGGTGTGAAGATGGTAACCTTCTTTCTGGCACAAATAGCTCTCCCAATGAGTTGATGAGTATGCTGAACTCTGTACCTCAGTATTCTTTCTATGGCCGCTGTCTGGGCTTCCACGTGAGTATTAGTTAGGTCTCTGATGATACACTTTAGATGCAGCTATGTTTTTTTGGCAACAAAATTAACACTGTGCAAAACAAATATTTCAGAATTTTCTTTAGAAGTGAATGAACGTTACCTCAACAATTATGTTTTCTGATGTGCCATTGCTTCATCTTCTGATCTATCTTAATTGTTCAGATGTCATAATACTTCATAAAAAATATCCTCAAATAGTCTCACTAATCATTATTTATGTAAATTATGCTCTTCACACAAACATTAGTAATCTCTTGTTTATCAGATATACTGTATTTTATTCATATACTGTACTCAAGAACATTCATTGGCATTTTTGATGTTCTTGAACATTCAAGAATATTTATTCATATACTCAAGAACTAAATCAATGTTTTAAGTCTAAAAATAGTTTTACAAGTAAAAAAATAAATACCCATTACTGTAACAGTATAATTTTGTTAACATATTGAACCACCTATTGTACTGTCAATGGCTTCACATGCAAATTATAATTCACTCAGAATTTATTAAGTACGTGTATATATTATTCAAGTTTTTTTTATTCATATAATATCAGTCATTTGCACACATTTACATTTAAAAACTTAGGGCTGTAAATAATTGCACTATGAGAATATTTATAAACTTGTGAACTCAAAAGGGCCTCACCCTGCACTGTTTAACCAATTTGTGTATCTATACTGAAGAACATTCATTGCTAAATATTTTGATGCTGAAATCAATGTTTTAATTCTAATAAAAGGTTTACAAATCAATTGAAGGTCTGTATATATATTTTTTAACATTGCCAAGTGAGCAGTCATAGACGTGGTTTTCTTTGGACAAGAAAATTATCCCACCCCTGGAATGCAAAAGTATTAAAAATAAAACATTCTCCTTGTTTGTCCTCTTGTTGATCTGGCATAATCACATAGGAAAGCAGAACCAGGGCTGACCAGTGAGAGCAAGCAAACAAACCCTGTTAAATGGGCAAAGCCAGACTGGTGAAACTAATCAGCTGAAACTAATCAGCTGAAGCTGATTAGTTTCACCAGGGAAAGACTGGGAAAGGCAAGCAGAATCAACCAAGATGGAATCAGGAAGGATGGACTGAATTAAAATGAGCAAACACTTAATAGAACCAAAGGAGAGCCCGATAAGGAAGCAGACAGGACCCAAACACCCTTTATTCCAAAAGCAATCCTATCCACGGCATGATGAACTGACAGTTATGCAAACAACAGGAGTCACAGTAGTAGCCCCAGGGTGGGCACAAAAACCCCAACACTGAGGGAAGCAGTTCACAGCTGATCAGAGACCTGACACCTTAAATGGAAATAATACCAAGCACCTTCCTTCTCTGACAGTACAACCACAAAAATGAGGTAATATTTTCAGAGCCCAGCCCTGAAACTGAAACCTGGCTTCAAGACTCTTGTTCTCGGTATTCTGATCCAACACCCTGTTAACCACAGATTAGAATGGGTGAAGGCATGCCTGTTACCAAATAACAAATGATCTCTCACAAAAAATGTTATTTAGTGATAAAAGGTGAGATACACAGATATTAACAAAGCCACAAATGAATACAATGGCAATGTGGTGACAAAACTACAGTAACTCCAAAATGCATGTGCAGCACTAAGCACCTTGACCTAAAACAAAACCCAAGGTACTGTTATATTCTGGATTAAATGAATGCGAGAAAAACCAAGCTGCAACACTGCTGAACGATCACAACAAAAAATGCCCGTTGACAAATGCTCGATGAACACACAATAGGTTGTGTATACTGTAGATGCACATGTGGCATCCACTGAAAAGCACAGGGCAACTAAGCATGAGACTGTCTCAGGATGGACACTAATTAAACAAATGGGTACCTTACTGACCAGGAAACTTGGTTTACGAAGGTCTGGAAAGAAAAGAAGTTGGTGTTTCTGTCGACAGTGCTAATACTGTAGTTGCATCTGATGGCTGGTTGGGACAGCAGTCAGGTATCCAACTAGCAGTTTAGTAGAACAATACTTGACACTCTTTGAAGCCAAATAGTTTGGAGAAGGTATTTTGAGTAGATAATTGAATCTTCTGAAGGTTATTCCTGGTCAGATGGAGAATTCTCTGGTGTTTCCCTTTCCCAATTAAAATTCTGGCAGGGGAGGTTTGAAAGAACCCTGCACTACATCAGAGATGAGGTCACTCTGGTCTGGTTGGAATCTGGGTATGTCCTAGTTAATATCAGACATTGCTTAAGGGACTGAATGAGTGGTTTATGTCCAGAAATATATTCTATGTTAATTTGGTAAAGTGTAAACTGTGGGTCTCATTGTTTGGTGTGAAAATTAAAAATCACGATGTTTACTGGAGTTTTGTAGTCAACTTCACATAATACTAGTTGATGATTATACTGTATGTTAAAGGCCCACACATACATACATTTTTAACCATACATTATCTGAAATTAAAATAAGTTTTAATATTACAGTACTATCCATCCCTGCGGAAGACTCTGAAGTATCTGAATATATGTCTTAGTGCATTCAGTGAAGTTTACTATGCAGACGGCAACAGTTTTATGCAGCGGACTAAAAACACGGTTATGTCAAGTAAGTGAGAGAGGCTCAAAAGGACTATATAAAAGGCTTTTATACTATGGTTAGTACAAGTCTTTGTATAGACAGTGGGCTGTTCAAAATCTGGATCATATTGTTCTAGAATCAATCAGAATTTGCTAATAATCTTAATATTATAATGCTGTACAGTTGAATCCCCTTTTTTTGGCTATTTATCATTAAATGTTAAAAGATTTTTCTTATAGCAAGTATATGTGTTTTGCATGTCCCAGGCAGGACAGAAATGGTTGGGCATGTTTCCTTTCACCTAATGCCTTTCTTTACCTAGCAGTAAATAGGTACATGGGAGTTAGTCAATTGTTGTTGGGTTATAAGTAAGCCAATTTTAAGAGCTGTTCTTTTACAAATAAAATTTTCCTCTTTAGGCAGCAAGTATGTTGTTGATGCTGAGCTTCGATCTCGTAGAATTGTTGATGTGGTTCAATACTCTTCAGTAGAGTTCATTAAAGCATTTTGGTCTGTGGCAGAGACAGGTAAAGTATAAGCAAGAGGTGCACTCTTGAATTGTTTGTCATAAGTAGCTTTTAACAATAACATTTGCTTTTATCTTTTTCATAACACTTGTTTTGCCTGTAAAGCTGTTCATTAGAAACAATGCAGTAGAGTGAATGGGTTTTGTAGTATTCCATATTTGTATTTTTAATATCATTTTTCTGATTCATGTAATATCCTTTAATTGCTCGGCAGTCCTCTTATACGATACACGCCTCCTAAGTGTCAGAAACTTGCTAGAATTAGAGGAATTAATCCATTTTGTATATCATTTTTTTTTCCAGATTTTATGACACAGTTGCCAGGTATTGTGGGTCCAAGTCTGGCTGTGCAGCAAGTAGTGATAGTGCCATGTGAAGAGCAGCAGGTTATGAAAATGGATGGCACTGCTACTGTTGTTGTCCCGCCTCCACATTCCCACATTGAGGGGCAACCCATCACATGCCACTTACTCTCGGCCCAACTGCGTGAAGGAATGGTAGGCAGGAAGGTAGGGTAGAAAAAAACTTAGGTAGGCATGGGAGCATCACAACTGTTTGGCTTCAGAAACACCTGCAAAACCCATGGTAACAAAATTTTAAATCTGATATCTGCTCTCAAAGATTTAATACATTTTATTTGCTGAAATTCTTGGAATGTATATTTGCTAAAGATTTATCTGGCTTATTTTACAGTAGCAAGTTTTTTTCAAATACAGTACTGTAGTTACATTTATATCAATCTTGAGTAATGAACATGAAAAAAGGAATGTCGCAATACCAGACGGGAAAGAAAAAGTAATAGGAAATCTTAGTTGTGGGATAGCAAAGAAAGCTTGTTTTAGATGTGATGAATTGTTTGAAGATATTGGTAGTTAATGCTAGTTTTTATAGTACCAAATTTGGTTTCCCTTATTATTTTTCATATCTTTCTGTATGCATCATTACAAATTCTATCCTAGGGATGAAAATGGTTTGTTTGCAACTCTTGTGGGAAGGGGTCAACATAAATACTTGTATAATAATCTGGTCATATGGAATATATGATGGCATACCCTGAGCTATAATAGAACTTTGTCATTTTCCACCCCATCACAGGGTTGCTCCCATGGAAAATAAGTATGAGATACACTGGCCGGAACAGTAATCTCGAAGTGTGCAGTGTTGATGTTTTATTGTTCTTTGTATAATTCAGCAACCAATATTAAAATGTAAAAACCAGTAAGAATATTTTACATTCTAACCAAAGTTAGAATGTAAAACTGGCTAATCTCATATATTTGGAGAAGAACAAAATGACCATGGGAGGTTATTAGCCTGAAAAGGCTGTTCAGTGAAAGTTGAGTAGAGTATATACCACTAAAATAATTATTATGAATTAAAAGTACTGTACATATTAGTGAAAAAGGGAACTATTCTGGTAGCTTGTGCTGCATACATTCTAGCTTTTCCTAATGTTCCACTGCAGCCCATCCTCTAAACAAAGACCCAAAGTCCATTCCATGCACCTGCCAAACCCCCTGGTTATGAATGAAAAACGGTTTACACACGACTCACAACTGATGATGTTCGAACACTTCCAGAACAAGTTCTTCGCTGGCGACTTTTGTTAGAACAATGCTGTAAATGCTTCACCCACATACTATAAATAATCGCCAACAGAACCTTAACACCTAACCGAACCTAACCAGAGACTAAATATGCACAATATGCTAATATATAATAATATTAATTTGTATTTGAGAAAAGTTCTATTTTGAATGAACAGCATGTTAAAAATTGATGAATGCGTCTTTGGGGTCGACCAGTGGATGGAATGGACTTGGTCTGAGGACGGGTTGTCTACTGTAACTATAATAGTCTAATATAACATTGGCTCAATAATCATTTTCCGTCTTTGTAATGTGTTTCTACAGATTCCCCTGAAATAATTTATTCTTACCACCTTCTTTCCACCGAGGTAATTACATTTATTATTCCATATTTTTTTGTTTAATTTTTTCACCCTTAGCTTCATGTTTTCAAAAGCTGTTGTAATAAATTGTTTTGGTCTTACCGTTTGGTACTTTATAACTAAACTAATCTGTGGCCAGGCTTTCTCTACAGCTTGTTGTGATAATTGTTGACACTAATACCTTACCAATAATTTCTTGAAGGCCAGCATTCACTACTAATCTAACTCACTGCACTTGAATAAGCCTTACTAATGCTTGTACAGTATATATAATTTATGAATAATTGACTAATAAATATGTTATCTTGACAAAATATGATGCTTTTTATGATAACGATATAAGAAATTTGATTGAAGTAAATTTTTTATTGAGAATTTTTTTAGTTTTGGTTTCATATATATTTTTACATTGATAGTTGCAAAATATTAGCAAAAATTGATTTCCATTACTGATATGACATGCAAAACAAACATGAAAGGTATTAATTAATTGACCAGTCCTGTACAGTATTGCTTGTGTGAAATATCAGAATGATAAGTTTTAATTTATTGGCCAAATTTGTTTACACTTGTTTTTTAAAGGATTTAATTTTGTTTAGCCTGGAGAGCGAGAAAGCAAGAATTCGTCAATATTGGCTCCTTCAGATGGCTTGCTCATCCACTGTCACGGTGGAGGCTTTGTTACCCAGTCCACCAAGGCACAAGAAGTGAGTAGATCTCTTCTTATTACACACTATCCACACTTCAGCTCATCAACACCTATAAGAAAAAAACTTTGGAGGTTATAAAATGATTTGACACTAAAAATGATTAAAAAGATTGTTTTTAGACAGGAAAAATTGTTAGAAGATTCATCAATAAAAAATGTCTATTTTTGCTCTAAATTACTCCATTCACCTGGGCTGGGTTTTTAAAACACAAATTACTGTTTGTTTTCTGGGGAGGGGGTCCCTTCGGCTCCCCGGAGCTATCTGGCCTGATATGAATGTATTAGACTCTAGCATCAGTCAATGAGCATGGAGTTCTAGGCCTACTGGAGACCACGAGCCAGAACCTGGCCCCCCCTCAAAGAGGCACGAGGAGCAATGGCCTATAGAAACCCCCGTGTGGTTGGAAGCATTCTGTCTGCCATCGAGACATAGATGACCTCCACGGAGACACGGGGAGCCTCCGGGTCTCGCCCAGCAAATGGCATTTCATTACTTTCAATGCAGTTTTTTTAAAACACTGACATAACAATCCACCTCCAACTGTGTCACTGACACAACAATCCATCCACCAACTGTGTCACTGACACAACAATCCATCCACCAACTGTGTCACTGACACAACAGTCCACCCACCAACTGTGTCACTTAAGCATTCATCTTGTTTCCATGTACAGGTGTATTAGTTGTAGGCAAGACTCTCCTAACTATTACACACTACGTTTTTACTGACTTGATCAGTTTGGTTAGCGATCGTTAATTGGCCTCCTTCACAGGCTGTAGATATAATAAAAAATTTAAAATCAAAGTGTTATTCTGTAAATGAAAATGCATTTACTTGTATTTAATAATTGAGTTTTTTTTAAGTTCTGGGTCATTTTCTTGTAATTTAATTTTATTTGTTGTAGAAATGGTAATCTCTACACACCCACTCGTGTAAACAAAAGGTGTTCCTAAAGTCTGACCTCTCTTTGTTCTGGACAGGTATTTCTCCGGGAGTGGGCATCCAATATTGGTGTTCCAATTCTGTCAATTGACTACTCCTTGGCACCGGAAGCCCCTTACCCACGTCCTTTGGAAGAAGTCTTGACTGTTTACTGCTGGGTGTTAAACAACCTGAAGCTGTTGGGAACTACTGGAACCAAAATTGTTATGACAGGTAGTGTAACCAAATTAAATTTTTTTTAATTCAGAGCTCATGTTTTTCCACCAATATCCGATGAAAAATACGAGGTGAAAGTTAGGTAGTTAATGTAGATTCTTTAAAATATTACTCTGTTCACTAAATTATTTGATTAGCTTTAATTAAAAAAAAATGGCAGTATTATTTAGATTTTGTGAAGGTACCTGGTATACAGTATTTTGTTTTTGCTGCCACTTGAATGTCAGCTGTGACTCATTGTACAGCTAACATGTACAAGACCCTGATACACTGTCCAGTTATCTGACTCACCCGAGTGTACCAGAAATGTCATTTTATCATATTCTTTCATTGTCTTATTAATTCATGATGGTTTCTATACAGTAAGTACAATGTCATCATCATTACCTAGCAAGCATTCACTATCATATATCATAATTTCTCACCACATTGTTACTATCTTTTTGAGATCTTGAGATGATTTCGAGGCTTTTTAGTGTCTCCGCGGCCCAGTCCTCGACCATGCCTCTACCCCCAGGAAGCAGCCCATGACAGCTGACTAACACCCAGGTTACCTATTTTACTGCTAGGTAACAGGGGCATAGGGTGAAAGAAACTCTGCCCATTGTTTCTTGCCAGCGCCTGGGATCGAACCCAGGACCACAGGATTACAAGTCCAGCGTGCTGTCCGCTCGGCCGACCGGCTCCCTATACAGTACTCTACTTTTTGTTTTGCTCTACCATTTCATCTATTTATTTCATCCTATAGTTGGAGAAATAATTGTGCTTCATCAGATGTAAAATTCTATGCATCTGTCAAGTGTAATAAGAAAAAAAGGTACATACATGATAAATACTAAAAAATAATAATAATAATTTGTTTTTTATTTGGGCCTGCAACTTTTCTAACTTTGTTTTGTTGTGTGTTCAATTCGGCTCAATACCATATTATTGTATTGCCCAGATGTGCATCTCTTTCTTAAATAAAAGTTAATTGAGGCTAGTTTTTGTCTGTTATTGATAGGTAACATGGCCATGGTATTTGTATATAGTTGTTCTTATACATATTAAGAAGGTATTCTGGTGGTGCAGAGGTAATTACATTTTAAACTCAACACTGACACTGATCTGTCAGTGTTGAGTTTAAATCAACACTGACACATCATTGTTAGTTTCAAACATGGGATGACTACATTTTGTAACCAGCTTGTCATAAATCGTTTAAAGAATTACCAGCTATATATCTTGCCAAATGGGCAAGTGGCACAGTAGGGTGACCTGTGGTGAGGTTTCCAGTGCAGTCAGCTCATATCTGATCGGTCCCAGGTTTAAGTTCCCGTCAGGACAAGATGTTGCTGTGTGTGTTCATTTTAAAGTAAAATAGGAACCTGGGAGTTAGGCACCTATTATGGGTTGCATCATAGAGAAGGTCAGTTATTGGACTAGAGCAGTGGTTCCCAACTGGGGGTCCAAGGAACTAGTAGTATATATTGGATTGTAATTTAACATACTAAGAACCACATATGAATGTGTTGAACTGAATGTCTCCTGTTATCATTTACATGTTGTTTTAAATAAGGAAAACAATGCAGGGTTTGTGAACAAATGAATGTGGATTTGTTGCAGCAGTGTGAACTGTAAATTTTGCTAGCTTGATCTGTTGTAGGAAATTCACAGGTGAGAATGGGGTTGTAGGGGTCCACAGGTGGGATCTTTGTTGTATGGGGTCCAGTGGTGAGAACGTGGTTGTTGGGGTCCACAGGTGGGATCTTTGTTGTATGGGTCCACAGGAGAGAACGTGGTTGTAGGGTCCACAGGTGGGATCTTTGTTGTTTGGGGTCCACAGGTGAGAATGTGGTTGTAGGTGTCCACAGGCGAGATCTTTGTTTTATGGATCTGCATGTGAGAACGTGGTTGTAGGGGTCCACAGGTGAGAATGTGTTTGTAAGGATCTACAGATGAGAGGATGATTGAAAAGGAGGAATGAGACATAAGAGATTGGGAACCACTGGCTCTAGGGTAAGCTTGATAAGCCTAACTAACAGGTTTACTGTCACCCAACAATGGAAAACATGTACTTGTCCTTTCCTTAAGTCTGTGGCTGTGCAATAAAAGTCATAAGTGAGTGAATAAAAATAGAAGGGAAGAAATAGATGGTACTGTATATAGGCACAAGTAAAGGGGGAAGAGTCATATATAAAAGGAATTCTGTACCAGGTACAGAATTTAGAGCAAGGACAGTGTAGAAGAGAGAAAACAAGCAATGTTTTCATAATTATGTACCCAAGGGTATCACTTATCACTGGTAAACGGAACACCTGCATGGTTATCCTGAGTTGAACTGTGCCTCTACCTTCAAATTAATGTTCTCGCCTTCAGTTGCATAAACACTTGTTGGTAATTATCTTTTTAGAAGCCATTCCACAAGAATATCCTTAAAAGTATTTTGTAAAATAAATTAGTGTAAACAATTGTTATATTTATTCACCCCAAAACACTATGTACTCAAATGTTAGAATTGTGTGTGACCTCCTTTATGATCTCTCATAACTGTATTACTGTCTACAGGTGACAGTGCTGGAGGTAATTTGATTGCAGGACTTACAGTCAAGTGCCTGGAGCTTGGAATACGTCCTGCAGATGGTTTGTTCTTTGCCTACACACCTTTTGTCTTTGAGCTTGTTCCATCACCTGCAAGACTCTTGGCTGTCATGGACCCTATGCTGCCTCTTGGCTTTGCTTTAAGGTGTCTGAAAGGTAGGAATTTCTTAGGAAGTGGCAGTTTTATGCATATGTTTAACTTTGGTATAATTAATATCTATAGATAAAATGCCTACAGTAATGCCTTCATGTAAATATGTGAGTTTCACTAAACTTGTTATGCTTTTCTTAATGATGGACACTTCTGGCAACAGCATATGCAGGTATTTCAAGTGGAATAACGTCTCGAGTGACATCGCCAGGAGATGTAACGCTGCCAACCTTCACTTCTCAAGCATCAAAGACTTCCACAAATTCAGAACTCATAGAAGGCCCAGCAAATGATGCTTCAGCAAATGATGCTCCAGCTTCACTTAATGTTCCACAGACAAAGTCAGGAGTGTCAGATACTCAGAGTGATACAGAATCATTTGTTGAAGTCTCAGAAAGTGATGTCAAAGAAGCAGAGACATTAGTCAAAAGTCCCTCTTTTCTCTCAGACCCAGGATCTGATACCCTTACTACAGTCTCACTTACATCTGAGGCTTCCAAACTAGAAGATACATCCACAAAAAATAGTAATGGAAATGGGAGCAACAAACCAGAAGAGAAAGAGGAACGCTCTAGAAGATATGTCACAGAATTTTTAGAAAAATATGTTCTTGATTCTCGAACAGATAAACAGGTGAGTTACATATCATAGTGCAGTGATATAAAATAGCATTTTTGGAACAGTGGTCCACAGTACTAGTTCACAGTTACTGTTATTAGAATTTTGACTTAAAGTTTCTGGTCGGTGCTTAATTTGTGGTATGTTGTATATTGGCAAGTGCTGGAAGACTATTTTCAAAGTCTATTTTTATGCAGATCTTTAAGCATATTATGGGATATTTTTCTTTATATAATGTGTTAACAGTTTAAATGCATACTGCATAGGCTACTCCACCTTGCTTGAGAATCTTAGAGAGTATTCATTTAAAACTGCTCATACATAACTTCATGTCATTTACTGCCTGCATTCTTGTGATGTTTATTGCTCCAGTTAACATATTTGTGTGTTATACAAGGGTCGAAGGGTTCCAATACTTCGAACTGGAAGCGACGAGAGTGAACAGGAAGATGAAAATGTTCTATTTGAGGCTCCTAGTATGGGTGCTGGTATCACTGCTAAACTTGGCCGAGCCAAAGATGCAGTAGTTAGTGGCATTTCAGCAGGACTGACATCATTTGGACTGAGAAGAAAGGAAAGTGTCTCATCACCAACATCCCCTGTGAAGCCACTGCCTACAGCAGTCAAAAGGTCAGTGAGTGAAGTGTAGATGCATGTTGTCTTTGGGTGGAGGATGGACATGAGACACGGGTCAGGATTTGGATATTGGAACAGTTCAATTAATGTGAAATAAAATTTTGTACAAGAATTAAGTGAGATATACATAACATTAATTAGTGAGTGTATGGTAAGTAATATTAAGAGGTAATAAGCCATAGTGACTATGAAAACTGTTGTGACAGTTGGAGGCGCTACTATCTGTAACAGGTGATGCCGAATGGTTTGAGAACAGTGACTGATTGTTACAGTTAGTAAACTTAGTAAACAATAACAGTAGTGCTAATTTACATGGGGTTATATTTGTGCACAAAAATAGGGAAACACAGGAGTGATGGGGAAGGTGCTCCAGTGGATAAAGGAGCATTCTGCAACAGACGACAAACACACTGTGAAAGGCGAGACCTCATTGTGGCGAGATGTTACCAGTGGTGTCCACAAGGGTCAGTACTGGGGCTGAGCCTATGTCTAATCTAGGTAAATAACCTACCAGAAGGGATAAATTCCTTTCTCTCAATTTCTGCTGATGCAAAAATTATGAGAAAGACAAATATGAGGGAAGACTGCAAAAGACAACAGGAAAACCTGGACAAAATGAAAGTATGGTCCCTCAAGTTGCTTCTAGAGTTCAACTCAAGCCAGTAAAAAGTAATGAAGCTGGGCACAGGGAAAGACCAGACACAAGATATCAAACGAGAGAAGAAATCCTCCTGGAATCTGACAGAAAAAGAGACTTGAGTTGATATGACACCAAACCTGTCACCAGAAGCCCATATCAAAGGAATATATTCAGCCACATATGGAAAGTTGGTAATATACAAGCTGCTTTCTGGAATCTTAAAAAAAAAAAAATCAGGATTTTGTGTATCATGTCGGACTAGTTACGAAATTTGTGGCACTAGGATTGAGTCCTTATCTCGTTCAATACCAAACAAAGCTGAAGAAAGTTCTGAGGTATTCCTCCAGACTTAGTCATCAGAGCTGAGAGGTCTGAGTTAAACAGGAAAGACTAAAGGAGTTCAACCTCATGTCACTGGAGGATAGAAGAAATAGGGTAGACATCATTAACATACAAAATACTCAGGAGAACAGACAGGACAGACAAGACAAACTATTTAGCATGGGTAGTACACAAAGGGAAGATAGATGGAAAATCTATCACATTCTCTCTTGAACATCGTGAGAGGCCAGCCAGGTATGCCCTTACGTATAGTGGGAGTGTTAAAAAGCCTTGTGCCTTTGGTGTTAATAGATTTCTCTCTCTGCATGCCTATTGCACCTCTGCTTTTCAGTGGGGCTATTTTGCATATCCTGCAATGCCTCCTGGTCTTGTGTGATGTTATTTCCATGTGAAGAGTTGGAACCTGTCAATCTGATATTTTCCAAGAATAAATTATTGTGTATCTCTCCCACCTGCTCTCTAGAGAATACAAATATACAAATTTTAATCGGTTCCAATAATTTTGAGTGGAGGTAAACACCATACTCAGCTTTAAATATAGATATAACCAAGGCCAATATGTTCTTGAACCTATTAGACCCAAGAACTGGGGCTCTCATCCCTTGCGATGCAAATACAACTAGGCGAGTTGGTGTAGATTTACTGGCAACCTTTTGTTACACCATCTTGTGAGATCTTTAAGGAATAAATGGCATGCATGTAAATATGGAAAAATGGGGACTTTGGTGTTATGAGTGACATAGTAAGGAATTTGTGAATGCTTAAAAAATTAAAATTTGTATTAAAGTACAGTATGCTAAAATGTTTATTTCACCATACTCAGCTTTGCTTCACTTGAGTAACTAGGATCACGCAATACTGTTGTTTTTTCAGAGATTAGGCAGTAAAATCAATGTAAAGGAAAGAGTAATTTTAACTACTGTATTTTGTTACTGATAATCAAATGGTTTTTAAATTCCAGATCTTCTCTAGGTCAAATTCTAATGGGCAGGTCTCCGTCACGGAGGAACAGTCGATGTAGTCTGATGGAGGAATTCAGCGGAGTGGAAATAATAAATGATCATTATCTGAATCCTCTTAGTGCTCCTAAAGACATTCTCGCCAAATTTCCTGCTTCTGCCATTCTCGTGAGTCTGTCAATGTCTTATTAATTCCTTAGCTGTATTACATTTTAATAACTTTAAAGAATGAATGCTTGATATTTCTCATGTGTTATTTGGGGCTGTGCAATGTTAGGATAGGAATGTATGATAGTGCTTCAGTGTATGCATTATTAATCCTTAATTATAGGAGGAATTAAATTATCAGTAGTAAATATTTCGTTCTTTTCTTGCAAGCCTACGCAGCACCTGTCTTCCACTGTTGCTCTTCTTTTTTATTATGCTGTACTGTACTACTCTTCATAATATTGAGCAGATTAATATTTACTATTTCCATCCCATGGCAAGGCTGTGAAGTTTTTGGCCTTCATATTCAATCTTAAACCTTGGCTGACATTTGAGGCCTCATGACGCTTCATTTTTAATTAATTGTGATTTGTTCGACATGTGTGATATGAGGGATTTTTCTACCATAATTTTAATATAAATTGAGTCATAATGAGCATAAATATCTTTACACGTGTATCAACAGTTTCAATACTATTATGTCCATATATACTTACATACTGTCCATATATACATACATACTGTCCACATATACATACATACTGTCCATATATACATACTTTATATTTACATTTTGTAGGGACCACATGCACCATCACTATCTTGTGTTTGTTGATGAACTATAATTTAGTAAGCATGGCTGATTGCCACTTGCCTTCATGTAGGTTATAAAGGAATGATACATCCTGTAGGTTGTATAATTCCTGAGCTAAATCACTAATTGGGTATTCCCTTATTAATTGTAGCACCTCATTGTAGCTATTCTCTACCCTGTTTCAGACTGTAGAATATGACTTCTGCTTGGATGATGATGTTACCATGGCCAAGACATTAAAGTCCCTGGGTGTACCAGTCACTATTGATATTTTGAGCAGTCTTCCCCATGGATTTCTCAATCTGTCATTAGTGTCACAAGAGGCTCACTCTGGGTGTAAGAAGTCCATTTCACGCATAAAACAACTGCTTGGTATAGAAGAAAGGGAAGAAAATGCAAAGGGGTGATACCAAGAGTTAAGTCATGCTCATTCTCAGAATTTGCAGTTGGTATGTGCTTTTGAAGAGTATGTGACAACGCATAATCAAAGTCAGGTATTTTTAATTTATATAATGCGAGACCCTTATGAGTAAAATTTAGCAGCTTGCAATTTTGTGCCAATGCTTTAATGCAACCATTTAATGAGTTTTTATATTTTAGTATTTTTACTTTTTAAGGGATTAAGATTTATATACTTTTGAATAGATACATTTATATGTATGTTTCAAAGCTTTTGAGACAAAATAGAATTTGTATACCAGTAATTACTGAAGTATAAACACTTGTGGAGACTTAATTCTCAGCTCTTTAGCTGTAGTGAGTTTATATTGAGTATAGTATTAATGCTGCTCTAAGAAATAATGTAATCACGAACACATGTTATGAATGCAATATTGTCCGCACTCCTGAATCATTACATTTTGAGTTTGCATTAGAGGCTTTTATAGCAAGTTGATTATACAAGGTCTTAAATGTAAGAATTTTGTAACTGCCTAATTCAGCATCAAACCTCATTGCATTGTTGATGTCAGTTTTTTACAAGTACAGTACTCTCTTTTTATTATATTTATCATAGCATCAATACTAGACTAAAATGTTTGGAAAGAACTGGAATGTTACTTGCTTGACTAAGCTGTAAACTAATGCAACAACTCTCTCTCTCATCAACTGCAAATAATGTACCTCTATTTACTTTCCAAATAGTTTCCCATGTCATTGGATGTTACAAGAGGTATTAATTATGCACCAATCTCTATGTGTTGGTGCTGAAATGTTCTAACACAAGTACAATTCAGTATGAGCAAAACATTAACGGAGGTGCACCACAGTCATGCTCGGCTCGACTCAAGGAAGTGTGAGGAGCTGATAACACTGGCTGATCACAAGATTATTAACTTACCTTGTTTCGTGTCTGGCTTAATATAGTTAATTCATTTAATGATAAGAGATGAGTATACAGCTCAGTTATTTATATTATCACTTTTAATGTTGTATCATTGCAATAGGGTGATCCAGAACTGTCCACTTTCATTAGTTAGTATCTAATGATCATACAATAAAAAGGTTTATTGACAGAACTACATTACATGGCTTAATATGCAAGGCCTGGCTTGTCTAACAAGCAGTGATTTTTGTTATTTTCAAATATTTCTTTCCAAATTGTTTTATTCAGGTGAATATTATTATGCTGTGTTAAGAACGTGAAAGGCTGATTTGTTATGTTAGGTTTGATCAAATTTCTATGTTCTTTCAAGTCAAATTAAAAACAAATCCAATAATATATAATGTAAAGAAAAATTTTATGATAAATTTTTTGTTTAAAAATATGACATTTCAGGAAAATTCAGCTTGTTAGGCAATGTGGCCTATTAGGTACAACATATATATTTTATTACAAACATAACAGTGCTGTAGACTATTACAGGTGAAGGATGTGATTTGTACTCGGTGATGGAGTCAGTATTGGGGAGCTACTGAGCGGCCCTCTCGGCAATCTGACTTGAGTCCCTCAGTAGCTCTCCATCCCCCACCTGGTGAATAGGAAGCCACTCAGTAGCTCTCCATCCCTCACCCGGTGAATAGGAAGCCACTCAGTAGTTCTCCATCCCCCACCCGGTGAATAGGAAGCCACTCAGTAGCTCCCCCCAACCCCCACCCAGTGAATGGGGAGCCCCTGAGTAGCTTCCCATCCCCCAACTGGTGAATGGGATGGTTGGCAAACAAGACTCATGGTTGCATGTATCTAGGTGGGGGATTTTATAATGATAAAAGTTTTTTGCGTGGTTTCATCAGAGTTACAAGTTTCTTTAAGCAGTTACTTGTTTTGGAGCATTTGTGGGTTTCTGTTGAGTCCATTGGTTGATTCTGTGGTGATTTCTGATTGCCAGGCTTCCCTCGACCCAAGTGGGCCAGTTACTGGTCGTGGTACCCGGTAGGCACTCACGGGTCATAAGCTACTAGGTTTGGGTACTTACTAGTACTAGGCTAGTACAGTACTAGGCTTGGGTACTTAAAGGCTGTAAGAGTGATTAGCTATTGAGTGGTCTACTAGAAAACAGGTGTTTCACTAAATTCAGTGTTTGGTTTTTGAATATAATTTTATGGTCTATTGTGCTTTAGTGAACTGCTAGGGGGAAGCCAATTGGCATTTACATTTCCTAACATTACCATTAATGTTACTTTCATTAGTCATTCATTCATTGTGATTGTTACATTTCTGTTTGCTGTTTTCACCTAGATCTGTGACATGATCTAACTAGTCATTAGAATGTAGTTTGTCTTGTTATGTATCATCTTTAGTAGTGTTTATGATTGTTAATGTTAATTCTAATGTTGAAATGCAGTTATCACAGGCAAGAAAGAATCTCCCATTATAACAGTGAGCAAATACGGAAGTCAGAAGACGTCTAATTCTTCAAGTCCAGTAAGCATTTATATGTATATATTGCTGTTGCACAAAGAGTCATATTCTCAACAGTGCTGTTAGTCATCTTGGATTTTGTTGACAGATTTAATTATGTTCTCATATAGTTTATGTCTATGTGCTCTTGTTTGACTGTGCAGTCAGACAACAAATATGTACACATTTGCTTTTGCCAATATCAATGACCAGAAATGGTGCATATGTAACATAATGTTATGAATTGATGAGTACATTTTTTTTTTTATTTGGTCATCAGTTATCACATTTGGTAGCTTATAGGAAGTGGTAGCTAAGGCATCCAAAATATTGTACGAAACACGTGAGATGTCTGTTGTTAGTAAGACAAAGATACACCAATAGAAGAATGAATCATTTGTAAATGTAAAAAAGAAAATAGTGTGTGATATTGGATGAGTGGACTGAATTAGGTGATATGAAGTATGTGTATCTATTGTATATGGTCTGGCACTGACCATAGACTAGTATGCAATAGCTAGAAGATAGAACAGGAACATTTTTCTATTTTAAAGTTTCTCTTTGGTTGATGGAGTTTTATTAAATGTTGTTGCTCTGTCTTGAGATGATGTTTTGTTTCATTATGGTTGTAGCAGTCTACATTGTTGGTTGATTATAAAGTTTATATGCAAAATATTTTATTAGTGCCTAATGTTAGGCTCCAGTGCAGTTGGTTAATAATAATTACCTCAGAGGAGAATAATGTGCTTAAGCTCAGGTTTTATTAATGTATTGTGTGAAAATTGTTGATTAAGTAGTCCATTCTACCACTCGAGAACAAGAACAGCATCCCCCTTTTCTTAGGGGAGATGTCATCTATGGTGCCAAGGCCTCTTCTCATGGGCACTTAGTGCAACAGTATCTTGCACTTTACTCTTGGATCTGCATTGTCTTGCTAACAGTTATGCACAGTCTTGTAGAATGTCCGGATTTTTAGGATAATGATGAATCTTCTTTCCCCAATATTTCTTTGAGGTACATATTTTTTGACAAAACCATTGGTGAATCTGATACCTTTGACATTACTCCCTATATATATGTATATTTTTGTTCTTATACCAGTATTGGAATCTGAATGATATCTAACTATTTCTGAATATTGTGTGACAGTGCTAAATAGTCTTCCAGGCTTGGCACCTTATTTTGATAATTTATAATTGCATGTATATGTGATGAGGCTATCATGTTCTAGTGGCCTGTGGATATCAAATGTAATTTCATCTCTACCGATAATGTTTGAATGACATTCCCAGAGAGATTCACATCAAAGAAATGGGTTACAAAACACTTCCTTGAGCTATGTCAGAAAGAGCTTTACGTACAATATATACAAGCAAAAAAAAAAAATACATAAAAGTAGCATCCAGATTGAACACTTGAGTCGTGAACTAGTCAGAACTCTTGTGGCATCAAAAATGACCCCAGCATCTCGATACACTCAAACTACGGAACACATCATTTTTGTTTTTGTTTTTTATTCCTTTTCTGTGTATGTAAATGTATCATTCCCTTAATGCAAATCTTGTTGCATAATTTTTATATATTCTTTCACACAACTTTGATGGTGCAGTTTTGATGATAACCACATGCTGAGGATTTATAATTTAAATCTGAACTATAACTAGGTGTGCTAAACAGGGATGATCTGCAGGTATTTTTTGTTGTAGAGTGTGCAAGGTAAAGCCCATTGTTGATCATTTATATATATATACCAGCACCTAAGTCTTTTGTACAAGGATTTTTTATGTGGCTGTATGGTCTCATGTTTTAAAATTGTTTGGGTTATTAAATATATTTGTTGAAGGCATGTAACTGAATCTCTTTTATATATATGTATGTATGTATGTATGTATGTATGTATGTATGTGCTGGACTTATTTACAATAATGATAGTACAGTATGTATGCAATATCTTGGAGGCATTTTGTTATCATTAATTTATTTTTGTATTGGATAATACATAACATTTTCTGATTAGAGAAGTTCTTTAGTAAATGTTATAATGATACCTTTAATAAATATTACATCAATAAAAGTTATCGAGGTAAGACATTAATTATATAAATCATTGATGACAACTATTACTTTATTCCTGTGTTACAGTCTTTGTTGTGTGTGTAGGAATTGTAGCGTGACTGTTGCTTGAGTGGTTACGGTAGTCCGTTACAAGGTAGGACTTGTATAGCTGTGTGTGTGTGTGTGTGTGTGTGTGTGTGTGTGTGTGTGTGTGTGTGTGTGTGTGTGTGTGTGTGTGTGTGTGTGTGTGTGTGTGTGTGTGTGTTAAGCTGTGCCATACTCATTGTCAACATTGTATTGTGAATTCTCGACAAATCGTTTTAGTTAAATCTTCTTTCAAGTAATTGAAGAAAAGTTCCCTTTGCAGAATGTACACTTCCATTTTATACACAGCAGGCTTGCTTGGTAGGAAAAAGAGAATAAATGTACAAATAACGTGCATATACCAGCTAAACATATTTATGAGAAAAGCTTTTTTGTTATTGCAGTGTTAGAATACACATAATGATCCTAATTTGACTTGGGGCACACTTTGTTCAACACTTCATGGATGAACTGTCGTGTCTGGTTATGTTTTTGGTCTGGAATCCTTCATGAAACAATCCTGTAATTAATTCTGGTAAATTAGATGCATTAGCAACTTATAAATGCTGAACAATATGAGACAGTATCCAGACAGTATATTAGTACAGTATCCACCCACATAAATAATGTGGGTGGATACATTAAAAATAATAATAAATTCCCTTATTGTTTGTTGCCAGTACTTGAGCCTGAACAGTACCTATCCTCATTAAATAAAAACTATTCATACATTACTGTAAATATAATTTAATAATAAATCATTATACTGGGGGACAGACAGCCAGCAAATGTATATATTAGGCTTGTCAAAGTCTCCCCTCCCTAACGTCAAAATTACTGACACCCCCAAGCATGTAACCCCACAAGAAGTTGACTAACTCCTGGGTACCTATATACTGCTAGGTGTACAGGGGCATTAGATGATAGGAAAAATACCCAACCATGTCTGTCTCACCCGGGATTCAATACTATTGTTACTTTGGTGCAATGCTGTAATAATAAGGAATAAGCAGCCCCATTGTTATATATATACTGTGCTGCATTATAAATGGCTGAAAAACAGTTGAAAAACACTAGTACCTGTATACAAAATCATAATTTCTGACTTCACAAGAGTCACTGGGTGTTGCATTTGGAGATAGAGGGGCAAAGAAGCCATCCCTGAACTGTTTATGACAATAACAAAAAGGGGGCCTGGTCGAGGACCGAACTGCAGGGACGCTAAGCCCAGAAATCATCTCAAGCTAACCTCAAGATAGATCACCTACCACCCATGTGTCATCCTGAAGAGATGATTGACTAGCCCTAAATATCTGGCCTCCAACCACAGACAGTCAGACATTCTCTATTATAGATATGGGTGAACAGTATAGTTAACCCACTATTGCTTACAGAGCAATGAGAGTTTTTTTTTTTTTTTTTTTTTTTTTGAGATATATACAAGAGTTGTTACATTCTTGTACAGCCACTAGTACGCGTAGCGTTTCGGGCAGGTCCCTGGAATACGATCCCCTGCCGCAAAGAATCGTTTTTTCATCCAAGTACACATTTTACTGTTGCGTTAAACAGAGGCTACAGTTAAGGAATTACGCCCAGTAAATCCTCCCCGGCCAGGATACGAACCCATGACATAGCGCTCGCGGAACGCCAGGCGAGTGTCTTACCACTACACCACGGAGACTGTCAAAGGTCCATGCTTTATGTTCAACGCAGAAAGTGTTGTTTCATTATTATTGTGGTGATGAATGTTGAATGTTTATTCCATTTGTTTGTTTGTATTCAGTATTATTTCTGTGCATAGTTATTGTCACATAAATCATGAAATTACAACACTGACATTCTAATACCTTTGATTGTAGTACTGTGCTAACATAGTCCCACCTTAGTTGTACTGACATCCACTTACCTTTGATTGTAGGTGGATGGCTAAAACACAATTGCTGGAAAAAATACACTTAAATTGCATGCTAGTCACAATGTCAAATATTTATGATTAGTATTGTTATCTTTCAAGTAAGATGCCTGCTTTATTTTATTTACACATAGTTTTTTTTTTTACAATTCAACATAAAATAATAAGTACATGAGGTTTCATTATGTGTGTTTAAGTTACGAGCTAAGTAGTTACACCATAATTAAGTATTATATCCTGTTTTCAACTGATACTCAGCATATTATTAAAAATGAAGAGACTGGTTATTTTACACAATGCATGTTGTGCATCAGTTACCTTGGACTCCTGAACTACAATGGTTCAGGAGGTCAATGGGTGTGGCAGTTAACTTGACCTCATGAACCACAAAGGCAGGGAGGTGTCGGTTAACTTGGTCTCGTGAGCCCCAAAACAGGGAGGTGTCGGTTAACTTGGCATCATGAACAACAAAGCAGGGAGGTGTCAGTTAATTTGGCCTCATGAACCACAATGCAAGTGGTGCATCAGTTATCTTGGCCTCATTAGCTATTAACCTTGGTCTTTACTTTAGTTCATTATATTTAAACTTACATATTTATATAATATATTCAATACCCTTTATCTACATTTAAAATTTAAACCATATAATATGGCTTTCTAGTTTCTCAGCCTTTTTTATGGATTTTATTTCATAAAAATGTGCGCGTGTTTATAGGTTCACATTTTGGAACCAAAGCCATGTGTGTATATGAGCATGTAAACATTCGGACATCCACCCTGTGTGTGTTTATGGGCACACATTGTGAAATTGGCATCTCTCAAATCATCATCAGTAGTTCCTGTGTAACAATATCCCATAGAAAGCCCAAGTCTAGCTAACACCGTCTGCCAATTGGAAATAGGGTGATGTATAGTAACTTTTCAAAATAACTATTTCAAATGTGTGTTTTATTTTAAGGCCATTCGGTACTTGGTGGACTTGGGTCAATTATGGGATAGAAATTTGCCTCTTATTGCCTAAAATATCTTGCGTCATTCTGCCGAACAGCTCATATTATACCTCATGGTTATTTGCAAAATAACCATGCTTTCTGATTCCCACCAATTCTCTTAGATGAAATATCACTAGGTACACTCCTTTAAGGAAATAAATTTATTCAATGCAACTAAGTTTGTTTCTGCTCTCACATCAGCATTTTAAGTACTGTACCTCGCTTTTACCTGTAACTTGAATAATGCTATACAGTACTGTATAGCCGTATTGGCTTAATGCTTTCTTTTGATAATTACTTAGACCTGCCTGTATAGAAAGTAGCCAGGATTGAAATAAATGTTAAGACTACATTCCAGATTTTATTTTTAAGTATACAGTATATGTATGTTATATGTATATATGCATGTATACAGACCTTGCAACAAACATTCATAATGGCAGCACATAGGTCACAAATGGTTTTAACTCACAAATTTGGGTTTTAGCCATGATGTACCCTTCAGTTTTTTTATGAAATTAATAAATTGCAGAATATTTTAAGTTGATTTTTTTAGCCTTAGCAACCTTCATGGTACTGTATACTGTTTCGTTTAATATTCAGTTGTAAAGATTTAAAATTGTGCAAGGGTTGTGAAAGGTTAAAATTTTATGCATTGGAGTAATTTACTGATATTTAATATTTATGTTATCTCAGACTTGATGTTATCTTCAGGTATCAATTGATATGATAATACAAAGTGGTACAGTAAATGATTACATGACACTTTCATTATATTTGTGTGTATAATGTACTGATCTGCTTGCATTTGAACTATACCTAATATGTAGTGTGCCACATTGATTAATAACTAATAAAATTAAAGGCTAACTTATGCAGCACTGATCAAATACTTAGCAACATTTATAACTACATATTCAGTAATATCAATTATCATCGGTGTGATTTCGTCAGCAGGCTTTCTTCCAAGTGTAAACCTTGACTCAGGAGTTCCTCGGCAGGTGTTGCAGGACTTGTGGTGGTTGACCTTGGGAACCAGCGAGGTCAGTGATTCAGCTCTGCTTGTCTGTGGGTTTAAACAAATCAGTTTATGCAGCTAGAATAAGAGACAAAACCTTGCATGTCTTAATAAGGGGTAAGTGCTTAAGAGTTTGAGGTAGAGAGGTTTTCTCATGTATGGAAGTATATAGAGGGCAAGGATGAACAAAGGTGTGCTCACATCTGACTAAAATGGGAATATGGACAAGTGGGGCCATGAGGAGAGCCTTCCTCGGTCAGCAGTGTGGGGGAGGACTTGTGTACTCTGTTTGGTATGTAAACAAATACTATTTACAATTCATGATGCTCTGTTGATTATTGCATTCAGGGACACCTTGCCTATTCTTTAATCATCAAATCGTCAAGTTTTTTATGCAAAGGAGATACAGTATTTATATTTTACATGAAGATACTGTTTATTTGTGCTTTAGGTTGTGTCCTTAACACTGTGTTGTTCTTGCAGTTAGTGGTCGATCTCCTTTACATTGGCTTTATTTTTAATTGGAATTTTCATTATATTGTTCACGTTTGTATTATTTTGTTATTCTCATTTGTTCTACTGTACTAAATTTTGCCACAGCTTTTGAGTTAACAGAAATGTAAATATTTTGTCTTGTGAGCACCTGTTGCCTTGTTCACTCACTGTCCCCTTCTCCTCCTCCCTCTCTTCCTCTTTATATATCTTCTCTCTCACTCTCATAGAACATAATAAATAAATGAAACTGCAGAAATCCTATTGGCCCGTACAAAGCAGCTCCATACAAACCAAAGGATAGTTCCTCTA